CCGGACTTCATTCTCCCATCTTCCCCCAGTACGGGCGATGATGAAAGTCGAAATCATTTGGAAGGCAACAGATTGGAGAAAACCGATCTTTGTGATTTATATACATTAGTCACGGGTTTCCGTTGACTAGAAATATATACTGTATCGCATTCTTAATGCTCTGAGGCGAACTCCATCATCCCCGCGGCAGCGAGAGATTCGGAGCTTTTTTCCCCGCGCATTTCAATGATTGGCCACAACCTGCCCGTGCTTCGCGCTGATTGGCTGCGCGTCGTTTTGGCGGGCTTCTCTTCGAAGGCGGGAAAGGAGCTGGGAAGGGTCTCTCTCATTCCGGGAGGGGCAGGGGGGCTGAAAGGGGCAACTTTGGGTTGGCTTCTGGGTAACCCAATACTGAGGTGGGGGAAAGAAATCTAACATTAAATGGAGAAAAGCACAACAACACAAAGCCTGATGATTTGATCCCATATAGATGGTTCCGCTGGGGTGAAGGTTGGAGGAAAGATGCCAACGGGGGCAGAATCTCAGAGGGAGTGGGTGGAATTGCCAATTGGGGCAGAAGCCCACGAAACAGGGCAGGAGAGACCACCTGAGGTGGAGGGAATAGGGGAGGTAAACCCCTCCAGGATGGAAGTTCAGGGGCTGAGGCAAATGGAGGCTGAATCCCAGGGACAGAGCAAAGATACTTCAAGTGGGGCAGGAGCCCAAGGGCTGAGGGAAGAAATATCAGATAAAAATGATATTGCAGGAGAAAAAGCAGCTGAAAGTGAAGGATGTGTTCCTATAGAGAACTTGGAGACTGATCCAAGGATTGGGGCAGGAGAGTCCTTGATAGGAGAAACTACAAGGTCATCTGATGTTTCAGTAAATATTGAGGCAGGCGGGATAAAGAAAAGTACCAAGAAAAAGAATTCTGGAGATAGGAGCAAAAAGCAGACTAATAAGAAAAGTGGACAAAAGTCCAAGGTGAGGGAATAATAAGTGTTTCTAAAACTCCAGAGAAACAGACTGATATGCTCATTTGATAGGACTTACTGCTTTTAAAGATGTCAACTTTTTTTTCAAGATAGGAAATAATTTTTTATATTTAAAAATTACAAGGAATGTGATAGGGTTTAGTATGCTGTGTTATGTGCAGTTAGTTATCTGGGAGTAGACATTGTACATTGTAGAAATAGAGCTGTGAGTATGGTGACAAAATCAGGAATCCGGTAGCACTTTTTCAGACAAACTTTATTAAAAGACAAGCTTAATTTAGCTGAACTGGAGATTTGAATCTAGGGAAACCTCTGTAAACCTTTGCAAAAAAGCTGAGAAATTTCTCTGTTGAAGTTTTATTTATTTACCTTATTTAGGGGATATCAGTAAGCATTTGGTTTATATATATATATATATATATATATATATATAATTTTGGATCAGTGGCAGTTTTAGTCTTGTGCCATTTGGATTTGTAATTAGCAAAAAAGGGCAAAATTGTTATTGATTGGAGAGTTTGATAGTATCATATGCAATGATAGTTTAACCCACATTATCAAGTCCTGCAATTACCTTTTCTATTGAAAATGGTCAATTAGGGCAATGAAGTCCAATCAAATGTGAATTCAGGTAACAACTAAGCTGGACCCCGTGAGGTGGGTTGGGCTGCAAAAGAGTGACTGCCTAAAGTTATCTATCCTATATATCTAGTATTTTAAGAACAATTCCCAATCCTTTGTGTCAGATCCACTGATTAATAGCTCTGTTGTTAAATGTAAGTTAAAATTTATTCAAAATGGTGATAAATTGTAAGCCAACTTTGGCATTTTGTTTGTTTAAGCAGAAAATGTAAACATGTAATATATATAACTGTCCTCTTTTGTACTAGGTTGAAGATAGGTTTAAAGAGCTCTCCATCTATTTTCCTAAAGAACAGTGGGCTGAAATGGGAGAATGGGAGAAATTACGTTATAAAAACATGAAACATAATTACGACTTTATGATTCAATTAGGTGAGCAGAATACTAATTATTGAATTGTTCACCCATGTTTTGAAACCATACAAAAGGAGAAACATCAAAGAATTCAGATATACATATGTTAAAATAAAATATTCCTGGGAAAATAAGTCACTGGGTGCTGAAATATATTTTCATCCTTTATTACAGTCTTAACTTCAGCAAAGCCATACCATTTAATACATTAAAATTTAAAGTTTCATCTGAATGACATAATCTAGAGATTATGGCTATGTACACACATCTTAAACCACAAACAGCAAATAATATTAATAAGAGGTTAATAAGTGGCCCATGAGGGAAGATACTGAAATTGTCCCTAGGAAGCATGAGCACAATTTCCTTCCAAATTTGGATACAATGGATTGCCTTCAGCAAATCAATTAATTGATCCACACTATAAGGACATAGCAAAATAGCCATATTCAATCCTTGAAGTAATAGAGAAGTACGCCAATATAAAATTTAAGGCACAAAACAATCCTGTGTTGCATAAAAAGTTAGTCTAATCTGATTGGGTTTTGGGTTTTGCTAGTTCTGTCACTTTTAGGTGCATTTTAAAAGGACATATGTTGCCCAGAATGAGAAAAATTCCCTATTTTCAATTATCACTATAATTGTGATTATGCTTTATGCTATCCTCAGCAGAACAGAAAAACATGGAATCAGTAAAAAAGATAGTGCAGCATTAAACACATTCTCTGAGAAGTGATAACTAATATTTTTATTAGGTCTTCCTACTCCTAAACCAGCATTTATGCTTTACGCACGGCAGCCCTTAAAGACAGCAAATGAATCCTCTGAATCAGATGAGGAATGGACACCAACACTTATAGGTAAGCTATCGAAATAATCTTAATGTAACAAAAATATCTGAAAGTTTGCAAGATATTGAAATGTAATAGAACATAACTCTTGCTTCAGAGTGAGGTAACCAACAACAGAGAACTTGCAATCCAAATGCAAAACATCACGAAAATTGACAAAAACACATGTTTAAGTGCTATGCATGCTGTTAATCTTAAAACAGACTTCACGGCTGTTAAGAACTAGTTAAGAAAAATAAATGTTTGTTCATTATAATACCTTTAGTGGCCCTTTAAAGTGGTAACATATAACTAGTGTTGCTTAAAAGGTTGTATTTTATGTAAGTAAAAAAATTATCATTGTATCAGTCTGGCAAAATAACTGGTTTTATGTTATTTTGTTACAGCTGCTCAAGATGATACAAATTCATCAAGTCAACACAGTAGTACTGTGAAAGATGTGAATCATGTAGCCTGGGAGTGGCAGGATGCAACACTTACCAGATAATATTAACTCATATATAGTACCTCAGTCATCCTGTGTTAAGATAGACAAGTAACAATGGTGGAAATAATGCTAAGAAACATGATAATTATAATATACTTAAGGGTCTGTTACAGTGCAAGATAAAATTTGATTGTAAAACTTCTAATAAAAACTAAAAAGGAACACAAACCTTTACCAAAGGTTCGGCATGTTAAATTGTACTTGGAAGTATGAGAGGCAAACAATGGCACAAAACTTTGCTATGCTGTTCAAAACACTCAACCTTTGATTTCATAGGAGATGGGAAGCATAGAATATGATTTTGTGACTGGGATGTAATCAGTATTTCCCAAATATCTTTGTAAAATAAAAAAACAAAAGAATATGGTTCACTAGCTCCACCTCACTAGTGTCACAGGGCTGACATTAATCAAGATCAAAGCTGTTATTAGTGGAATCAACATACAATTGATTGGAAACCAAGGTACTGTATTCCTTTGGAATTCATTGTTCAATGTTTTTTTTTAAATGTTTTAAAAATCAAACAATACAGGTAGTATTCAACTTACAATAGTTTGTTTAATGATCATTCAAAGTTACAACGGCACTGAAAAAAGTGACATGACAGTTTTTAACATGACTGTTGCAGCATCCCCATAGCCACATGATCAAAATTGGCAACTTTCTGATATTTATGATAGCTACAGGGTCATGTGATCATCTTTTGTGACCTTTGAGGTGTTATTGGAAGCTATAAGAGTAGAATACAGAAATTTAGACTGAATTACTGCCAGCTGCCCATTCTCTGTACAGGAACATTTAGGAGCAATAGGGAAACATCTTTGCCTTATACAATTTAAATTTTGCCTTTAAAACTGAATGAACTTGGTAGCAGAGCTTCAGATTCAAAAGAAAAAGGGTAGTGCTCAGCATGTTTGGCCAGGCATATATACATATTGGCTATCCTTTAAAGCAATTATTTATGTTCATATTGCAACAGCAGAATGCCTTTTTAAAACTATTCTTTCTATAAAGTTTTTTTTAGTAAAGTTAGTAGACAACATACATCCATGTACAAATATGTTCACATGCCTTTGCTGCAGAACTAAATGTTGTAATGCCTATTTATTAATTTAGCATATGTATATGCAAGAATAGACTGATCTTAATTGTAAGATACATTGCATTTATTGTGTAATTAATTCATGTATGTTTTAGTCCTACAAAGTGGAATTCTTGGGAAAATTGTTTCGGGACCTGAGAAGGTATCTTAATCCACTTCATCCAATGGACTGACAATGCAGTGTCTATACTTGAAAATCTGATTAATAAAGCAGATAATTTGATACTGATTTCTGTCAGTGTAAACATGATTCAGGTATTCTGTACATATTTACTGATGTCAATTCTTGTTGCCCTTTAGATGTATTCTCCAATATTGGTACTACATATTGTCTGTCTCCTTACTTCCCCTCTAATATAATGGATCATCCCAAATTTTTTACCAAATCTTCCACCTTACAGTTTGTTAATCCTAAATTCAATTAATAAAATACAATTGTACTGTATAATTCTTGAACTTCTTACTTGGCATGATACAAATTCTGAGAAAAACAATGATTTAATTCCCATTCTTGTACTTGAGGTTTTGCTGCTTTCCATGGAAATATAGATTACAATATTGAATTTTATGTGCTATACTTTATTTTTCAGATTTCCAAACAAAAGTTGTGCCTGAAAAGAAAAAGGAAAGGAAAAAAGAACAGAACAAAGAAATTAGCACTTACAGATTACGGAAGAGAGAAAGAAAAGTATACATGGAAATAAATGAACCAAATGATGATGATTACTTATGTGAGAGGCACTTTTTTAATGATCATTTTTGTTCTTCATTTCTCCTAAACAAACATTTATATATGGTTATAGATTTAATATAAATTTAATATATGTGTGGAGGATAGTTCTCGTAAGCATTTGAAAGCTGTTTGCTGTATTGGCAAACATTCTTTCACAATATGCAGCATTTCCACATATATAAATTTCCTATATACAGAAGGAGATTGCCTTTGCCAGGATATTCTTCAGCTTCCCAGTCTAATCTACAGCTTTAGGATTTTCTGGTAATTTTACCTTCAAGTATTAAGTCCCAACCTTCCTTAGTTTACAAGCAGACAAGACTAGCCAGCTGCTGTCACCTCCTGAGCTTTGAATATCAACTCATCTGCTATTCTGTTGTTTAAATAATTGGTTAGGCATAAAAATGGGCAGGATAAACTTCATTGGTATGCAAACATTTCAAGTGATATTATTCATAATATATATTGCCTATAGAAAACTGAATTTAACAAAGGATAATTCATTGGACTCTGACTCCATATTCACTTATCTCTTTTCACTTTCTTAGTTTGTGAATATTGCCTGACATTCTTTGTTGATGAGTGTTCTGTTCATGGTCCTCCACTTTTCATCAGAGACACAGCAGCTGAACTAGGCCTGGCAAATAGAGCCAGCTGCACTTTACCTTCAGGTTTTAGAATTGGCCTTTCAAGTATCCCCAGAGCTGGTTTTGGAGTCTGGAATGAAAGTGAAACATTGCCTCCAGGAATTCATTTTGGACCATACGAAGGGACAAGAACAGAGGAAGAAGCAGCAGCAAACAGTGGCTATTCCTGGCTGGTATGATAACAGTACTTGGATTTTACAGGAGTTTTGTGTAATTTCATTTTCATTGATTGAGCAAACCTAATTTATGTTACAGTACCATGTGGTTTTATAGGTAATCCCTGAATTATAATTACAACTGAGATCAGAATTGTGATTGCTAAGCAATGTGGTTGTAAGATAAGCTCTCACATGACTATCACTGAGCAAATACAATTCCAGCAGTCCTGGTTACTATCTTTAACTGAGAATTGTGGGTCATTATGGGAATACTCACCCCAATCCAGGCCATACCATATGCCTCATCAGCAATGAGAGCAAGAAGATGGTGAAGGTCAGCATGGGTGGTAGATCACAGGGTAGCAAAGGGCCAAAAGGGAATAGATGTAGGGAGAGAGATAGGCGGGTGGGGAGAATTGAAGCATCTGAATTTTTATCTCATGACTGTAGAGGTACTGCAAAATCTATAACTTTAGACACAGGTTGTAAGTCTCTGTGCTTAGTGTTTTTCCTTTAAATACGCTAGTCTAAAAAAAATGTTGAGACTCTAGAAAGAGTGCAGAGAAGAGCAACAAAGATAATTAGGGGACAGAAGGTTAAAACATATAAAAACCGGTTGCAGGAATTGGGTATGTCTAGAAGGACTACGGGTGACATGATAACAGTATTCCAATATCTAATGGGCTGCCACAAAGAAAAGGGGATCAACCTATTCTCCAAATCACAAGAAGGAAGCAATGGATGGAAACTAATCAAGGAGAGAACCAGCCTAGAATTAAGGAAAATTTTCCTGACAGTGAGAACAATTAATCAATGGAACGACTTGTCTCCAGAAGTTGTGGGTGCTCCAATGCTGGAGATTTTAAAGAAGAAATTGGACAACCTTTTGTCTGAAATTGTATAGGGTTTCCTGCTTGAGCAGGGGATTGGACTAAAAAAACCTTCAAGGTCCCTTCCAATTCTGTCATTCTGTTATTCTGTTAACATGAAAACAGCATTTTCTCCATTGTGATGTGTGGCCATGGAAATCCCTCTTTAGAGAAGCTGTGTTGATTTATTGCTTTTGGTACTTTGCACTTTGAATTAAGCAAGTTGCAACCAATATTTTATTAGATATAAAACAGGGAAATGTTTTGATATTATTTTCTTATCATTTACTAAAAAGTGATAACATTTAGTAAATTTTCCCCATTTACTAGAGATTAATTAAAGCAAGACATGTCATATTATTACTATATTACAATGAAATTGTATTCATTATTGTGTCAATTCCCCATTGACATACATAGTTCATGTTTATTATAATTACAGATTACCAGAGAGCAGAATTGTTACATTTACATTGATGCAAAAAATGAAACTAATTCCAACTGGATGAGGTAAAAGTTTTTGATAAAATTAAAGAGACTTTTGTATAATAGTATTTTAATAGTATTGAAAAGACCTATAGCACAAACAATCTGCAAACTATCTAAGCTAAATTACTTGATTTTAATACCATGCAATACAGCTGTACTGTACTATGTCAACTTTGTGAATATATAAGGATGTTTCATTGATCTAAATGAAATTCCAGGTAAATTAACTTATAGTCACAATTGTTCAAGTTTGAATTATAAGAAACAAAGAAAATATTTTGCAAAGCACTTGGTATAATTTTATAGCGACAGATAAGTCAAAACTAGAACAGCGTATTTCTGCCCATTCAGCCATATTTGCATTATACATTGTACAATGAAAATTGCTTCCAATTTCTTTGATACGTGCAATATGAGGATCATCAAAAGCTTTCAATGTGAGAAACCATGACATTTTGCACAAAGGAAATTCCTTTCTTAAAGTGGACTAATGATTAATAACAGAGGTAGATCAAGGCAAGGAAATGAATTATGGTATCAGAAAATATGGATAGATATTGAGTAAAAATTTGAAGAAATGTTCAGTTTGTACAATCAGGATATATAGTAGCTTTCAAAATGTACAGGAATTTTAATACTTCTGTTCACAAGTTTTATTGTGTCTTTTTTAATGGAAATAATTCTGTATAACTATAGATGGTCAATATATTTCACTTCCCATGTATAGAAAACTTTTTCTCTGTTTACAAAAAAGGGATCTTTTCCTGAGAAAGTACACAACTGGAAAAAATGATACACAAATTTTCCAATTTAGCTTCCTTTGGTCTTTCTGTATCTGAAAAGAACAGTTTGACTACAGCTGAATAACAGCTGTTTGTTTTGGCAGGGGTCTATTCTCCAAGCTTGCTATTTAGCTCCCCAACATTTCATTACCAAACTAGGTAACATCTTCAGCAGGGTTTTTGGGTGAAGTGTCTTGTTTATATAGGTCAGTTGGTCTTGTGACTGGTTGCTGTGAGACGCAGAATTCAACTGGTGAGGGTGTGGTAGAAGCCAATGGGTCCATCAACAAACACATTGACTAAGAACCAGTGTATGAACCAATAAGGAAGCGGACCATCTGAGCCACCAATTGACGAGAATCAACCATCCCCTCATCAGTTGAATTCTGCACCTCATAGCAAGTACTTTGGTAATAAAATGAATGGGAGCTAAACAGCAAGAGAACTGAGCTCTGCCAAAATCTACAACGCGAGCTACAAATATTCTCAACAATTTCTAACAGTTATTTGTAATATTAATGGCTAAATAATACAAAATATTAATATTAGTATTTCATATACTAAGTATTGTCTTCATTGTTTTCCTTATGAATATAAGTGATCTGGACTTCTAAAAATGTTTGTCCTTTATTTTGGCCATTCCCTAGGCCTAGATTATTCTGTATTTACTCGGGATAATTTTTAAATAAGTGTATAAATATTCATCCTTTCATGATCTGAGAAGTTCCCCAGAACTTCTTGGTTTCAGTTTTGTTTAAATCATCCTGAATTCAAGCACAAGTTTATGCTATTATCAATGTACACGACAAAATTTAAAAGCAGGTTGTCACTTTCCAGATTTGGGAATATTAGAACTGGTTTCGAAAAATACCTCTTTGCTCAATGGATTTTGTCCAAAGACCAAAATCGCTGTAACTCTAAATATGCTATTATCTCACTGATACGTTTCGCTCTGCAAGGGCAAAAATTAAAAATACAATTTTTTGGGAGAAAACAAGAGTGATAGTAATATTCTAGGGCTGTGACTATAGCACAATTGTATGTATATATGTATGTATTTGTTTTACAATATATACCACTTTTCATTTAGTATCCCAAGGTGAATTTATATTTTCCCCCACTACAATAATATTGTGAGGTAGGTTGGACTGAGAGAGAATGACTGGCCCAGATTTATCTAATTTCCTGGTTTCTTTGATGACAACTTTTTCTTTTAACATCAGTCACCCTCTTAACAATAGGTATGTTAACTGTGCCAGAAATGAGGAAGAACAAAATCTTGTTGCTTTCCAGTATCATGCGGAAATATACTACAGAACATGTAAAGTAATTCAACCTCAATCTGAGCTCCTGGTTTGGTATGGAGAAGAATATGGAAAGGAACTTGGCATCAAATGGGGATCTAAATGGAAATCGCTAAATGGTATAATGCTAGATGATTCATTACTTAAATTAATAATGATAGCTCTAGACCAGAGGTTCCCAAATTTAGTATCTAAATAAGTAACTAATTTTTCTATGGCCCCTTATTTAATATCTAAATAAGTATCTAATTTTTCTAGTAATTTAAGACCCTCTAGGCCAAAATATTGTCAAAAAACTGGCTTTACAAATGAAATTGCGGCTCTAAGCTATAATATGCCAAGGAACAATTTCACATAGTCAGTGTCTGTTGATACAACTGATGTTTTGACATGGTGTTAGTGTGACTTCCATAATTTTGACAGTTCTTATTCCACTTTTAAGTAGCACTTTATTTGAAGGATGAGAGATAATTTGTACTTCTACTATTATTGTATAATAACAACATGATTATAGCTATTACATTAATATTTGGTATTGGTTATATTCATAATATGAATATTGGTCCATGGCTCATATTTTTTCCTTCAGTAAGAGCTTATTTTTAATAGATGAGGAAAAAAAATTAGAAGTCCTGCCCTTATTTTCCTCTCAAACACAGGTATTGAAAGCTATTTTAATAATGATAGGAGAAATATATATTACATTTGTTTGGTTCTACACACTACCAATTTTTGTGAAATCTTTTACTGCAAGTATATTTTCATCTTTTCTGCCTTAACCAGATTTGACAACTATGCTGTTAGATATATTAGTTCATCAACACAATAAAAACTAAATAATATTATTGGAGGCTACAGTAGGAATGCCTTTTAATGCCTTTTAAATATTTTTCCATGTAGAAAATAAAACCTAATCAGAAGAAATTCTTGTTCACAATATCACCTTTGGACGGAGATATATTAATATATATATTTTAATGTAGAAATCTTTATAAGAGGGCCTTGCATATTCAGTTTGTTCAGTCCAGTCTAGCATTTCATTCTGCTGAGCTCAAATGTAATTTTAACAACTTGTGTAAAATCTTCTAACAAAGAAGTTATGCCTAAAAAGAAAATTAAATTATTAACAATTAACAATTACCTTTATTTCTAAAACCCATTTTCATACTGCATGGATAATTGTTGTTAGTTGCAAAGTTGTGTCTGACCCATCGCGACCCCATGGACAATGTTCCTCCAGGCCTTTCTGTCCTCTACCATCTTCTGGAGTCCAATGAAGCTCATGCCTACTGCTTCAGTGACTCCATCCAGTCACCTCATTCTCTGTCGTCCCCTTCTTCTCTTGCCCTCCATCTTTCCCAGCATTAGGCCCTTCTCCAGTGAGTCCTTCCTTCTCATTAGGTGGCCAAAGGACTTGAGTTTCAACTTCAGGATCTGGCCTTCTAAAGAGCAGTCAGGGTTGATCTCCTCCAGGACTGACCGGTTTGATCGCCTTGCAGTCCAGGGGACTCGCAGGAGTCTTCTCCAGCACCATAGTTCAAAGGCCTCCATTCTTTGGCGCTCAGCCTTTCTTATGGTCCAACTGTCACAGCCATACATTGCAACTGGGAAAACCATGGCCTTGACTATACGCACTTTTGTTGGCAGGGTGATGTCTCTGCTTTTTAGTATGCTGTCTAGATTTGCCATAGCTTTCCTCCCCAGGAGCAAGCGTCTTTTAATTTCTTGGCTGCAGTCCCCGTCTATGGTGATCTTGGAGCCCAGGAAGATAAAATCTATCACTACCTCCATTTCTTCCCCATCTATTTGTCCGGAATGGAGAGGGCCAGATGCCATGATCTTGGTTTTCTTAATGTTGAGTTTCAACATGGGTAATTGCAAATTATCTAACTATATAATAAGTATTGATATAATAAGAATAGTGAACTCTTTAATGTGAAAGAAAAGTTATAAACTCTAAAGTGTACTTTTTTCATTGCTGGGCTTTCAAAAAGAAATTCTTCTCAGGTAGAAATTATAAATCATAGCAGATTCTTCATAGAAATAGTCCTACATGTTTTTGCCAATAATTTTGTTTTTTCTTTGCAAGTAGTTCACAAGCAGAATTCATACCTGGTGAAGAAGCAACAAATAGTTTGCCATCAGTGTCCCAGTTGTGAGACAGCATTTACTTGCAAAGATTATCTCACCCGCCATATGAAATGGAAGCATTCTGGATTTATAATACTTGCTGAAGAAACGAAAAAAATACTAACAGAAAAATCATTACCCAACATAAGAACTTATGCTTCCTACCAAGTTACGGTGAAATATAGACTACCAAGCAACATGAACAAAGGTAAAGATGGTGAAATTCTTTTTTTGAAAGATAGAAATAAAGAAGCAGAGAATAAGAATCATAAAAACAATGGGAAAAATCATTTTCAGCTGGTTACTCACAACCAGTCACATAGAGAAAAGCCATATTTATATAAAGAACATGTAAAAAAGGTTGATGGATCATTACTATGTCTGATCAGACAGAAGCAGAGTTGTATAGGGAAGAAGTCTTCTTCATACAGAAAATATGGGCTAGGTTTAAGCCAATCATCAGGACAATCCACTCGGAAACAAACACATGTAAGACAGGAGCCATACTCATGTAGGGAGTGTGGCAAAGGCTTTAGCCAATCAGTTCACCTGGCCACTCACATGCGGACGCATACAGGAGAGAGGCCGTATTCATGTAGGGAGTGTGGCAAAAGCTTCACT